GGGAAGGAACTACTATAGGAAATGTTAATAACTGTATACGATAACTTTCGATACTGTTGATGGTCTATCGATAATTTTACTATTGGCGAACAACACTAGTGCGGTCCTCTCCCATATCCCGCAAAATACGGGAAGACTGTTTGTCCCGTCTCTGTATTCCACAGACGACAGGATGGCCTAGGTTATGCCTTTCAAAAATACAGGGTGAATTTTAATTCCTTGACCAAATTTGTTTCCATTTCTCAGGATATTAGAAAAATTTACTTACTCTATGTGTGCTTATTCGAAGTCTAAGTTCGTTTAGTATTTTATAATATGGTGATTGATTTATCGATCTGTTTGTAATAAACGCCATCTTATCACCCCATTAAAAATTTGGCCATTGTATTCAAATTCGCCTCCGGTAGATGACGACGTTTCTTATTGAAATAGATCCTCTCGTTGCAGCGCCGAAGGACCTTGCGCAGACGTCATACTTCATGGCGTCCAACAGTCTGCATTTGACGACTATGTGCCTGCAGTACCGGCCTACGGTTGTCGCCTGTTTCTGCATTCATCTTGCTTCGAAATGGAGCAATTGGGCGGTGAGTAATAAATGTTAACGTTAGTTCTACTATACTTGGTTTTTTTACAATTAGAATAATCTGTAAACAAAGAAACAGTGATCGTACTTACTTACTTTAGTAGTCACAGTACTGGATCTGGGGTGTGGCATATTGATTATCTGTACAGATCCCGCAGTCAAGCGAAGGCCGGCAGTGGTACTCGTACGTGGACCGCAGTGTCACCAGTGACCTGCTCGAGCGACTCACGGCCGAGTTTCTGCACATATTCGACAAATGCCCTTCCAGATTGAAACGCAAGATGATGACCATGTCGAACAGTGAGCTTTATTTAAAATTTATAACACACGAAATACACAGGAAGTTTATTGCTGAAGTTTAGCATTTAGTTTACTATCCAGTCCACAAGTTGTTTGTCCCGTCGCTTGATATTATAAAAGAAGTTTCAATTTACATTTCAAGTCTGATGTTCAGAATTGGTTTCTGAAAAGATCTCGATTTGGCTCTGAAATTCAGACTGGTTTGAAATGAATGAATGGATGTTGTGGATTGTCGGCACAAAGCAGACTGAAAGTGGATTTAAATGTAGGGAAAGGGGTAGGGGGTTCGTAATCTTTGCCTACCCCAGTGATTAAAAAGCCAATCTCCTAAGGAAATGAAACTATTCTTTTCGGATCTAAATTGCGTATATTTGTTTTTTCAAACACACCAACGTTAGGGTCCTTGCAGGTCGCATGGTCATGGTTGACTGAAGTGGTAGTCAACAACCAGTTATGTCTAATATTAATCCAAACCACCCTACCTTATTTTTAATTTTCAAAGAACATTCGAATTTACGTTACATGTGTATTACAAATTATTTCATTTTAACAATATAAATTATTTGTTAAATTGTATAATTAATTATTAATGATAATTAGAATAAATTAAAACATTAATTAGTACTGCAGTCTAATGTCTGCTTGGCATTTTTCAACAGAGGAAATACAGGATCCCAAACTGGTGGTACGAGGAAACCATCTTCCCTGTTGAAATTAGTATGTTTTTTAATTTCAATGGCCTGTCCCAGCATCCTGGTTAGATAACGGACTTCTTTTGCCTGCGTTTTGCAAACCTGGGTTTGCCAAACTCAATACACAAATTAATTGAGTGTGTCGGTTAATCCATGACATGCTCGCAGACTGCAGATTTATTTACACGGCGGTGTTTGACGTCAGCTATGTGTTCTTTGACGCGGGTACAAATACTTCGCTTCGTTTGTCCAATATAAGAGAGACCGCACTCGCAATCAAGCTTGTAAACTCCTGCATCCTGTGTGTGATTTAGATTCGAAAAAAATAGTTTCATTTCCTATGTGTAACAATCGCGAAAACCTAAGAACTCGATATAATATATATATAATAATTCTTCGATGGAACACCCCCACTTTAAAAGGTAATTATTGTTGTATAAACAGAGCACAAATTTAAAAAAATATATAGTAATTAAATAAATTATGTCTAAATCTATTAATGCAACGGAATTCAGTTATATATGTTATCAATATGTATTTCAATTTGTTAGATTGTTCTTTGATAAACAATATTTTAAGTCGAGTCGAGGCATCCTCAGGGACTGTTGACTGCTCGACGCTCGGCCGAGCGAGGAGGGAGGGTGGTATAATTAACTGCATGAAAAAATATTCAACACAAGCGCAGCTATTTTGCACGATTTAACCTTCACTGGGTTCGCGGAGTAGCAAATTAATTTACCTCTATTTTTATTCAAATTTAAAAACTGTAAAGTTTGCAAATAAATAAATAAAATAATCTCCTAAGTGTTAATTGTGATGTCCTCAGGCGGGAGTTCTCCCCACGCAGGCGCCCTGCCCCACGCGGGTGGCGCGGTGGCCAGTTCGCCTTTCGACAAGAAACACGCTCAGAGCAACGACGACTACGACAAGAACTCCTTTGATAAAGGTGAGTGCATTAGTAGCATAATTTTTGAATACCGATTCTACCTATCATAACTTATTTTTAGAAAAGAACGCAACCTTAAAATTTGTAGAGAAACATCTATTTGCCAGGATTTATTTAAATCGGTTAACGGAAAGTGAGTGAAATTCAATAAAACCGATTTATCCTCTAATTTACCTCCTTTGGAGAAGGAATATTTACTTCAACTATATTATATGTTCACTACAGAGAAACCCCGTTTCCAACAAAAAGAGAATCATTGGAATCGGTTCACAAATGTCGGAATTATCGCGTAACATTTACGAAAAAAAATACATCCAAATTGAGAACCTTCCCATTTTTTGAAGTCGTTTATAGATTTTACTATAAACATTTTGGTCAATTTCATCCTGGAAAATCTCTATAATCGCCCTTCTGAGCGGTCCGTGTCCAACAAACCTTGCACGTAGCCCACTTCACTTAATTATTATATTAAATGAACTCCCGCCATCTATGTTTCCTAAACAAATTAATTCGTCAACGCTGTTATAAATAAAAATAAAACTCGTGTTTCACAAATCAACTTAGTTACTAAATACCTTCTCTCGATTTTCGGTCTCAACACAATGTAACAAGCTTTTTTTAAAACAATCAATGGGTTAAAATAGCAAAACGTTTTTCTAAACGATTTTGTAAGCTACAAACTAAAAAGCGTTAAAGTGAAAAGCACTTTCATAAATACGCTTTTTAAATATATACGTATTAACGTTCGTCGTCTATGCCTGTATAAATGACGTTTTACAGAACAGTAAATATTGAACAAGTTTTGTTTGCTCCACAGAATACGAGCGCGAAAGGCGGCGGCAACAAGCCCCTGGCGGCTACGCACCAGCCACTACATCGAGCAGTCAGTCCCAGCCCTCTCAAAAGATAGATTATATCGCTTACAGAGAGAAGAGAGAGAGAGAAGAACGAGAACGGAGGGAGGAGCGGGAAAGACGGCAACAACAGGCCATGCAACGGGCTGAAAGACCCGAGAGACCGGAAAGACCAGAACGACCAGACAGACCGGAGCGTGTCGAAAGACCGGATAGACCGGACCGGGTCGAAAGACCAGACAGACCAGATCGGGTCGAAAGACCAGATAGACAGGAGCGTCCAGAAAGACCGGATCAAAGACCAGGAGTACCACAACAGAGACCAAGTAGTTCACAATCAATACCCCACCATCAAAGACAACCTAGCCAACACCACCACAAGCCACATCACCCGTGGCCCCATCATAAACCTCCCCACCACAAACCTCCCCATGACCACAGACATCATCGACCGCCATCCCTTCCTACGGCCACGGCTACAGCCACAGCCACAAATGCTCCTCAACCGCAAATACCTAACCACCCAGATATACCACCGCAAAGAACAAGACCACCGTCATTGTTCTCACCAGAAAATGTGACTACCCCATCTGCAGCTGCGGCTGCAGCTCCTAGAAGGCCACAGCTTGCTGTCCAACCTCGACTCAAACCTGAGGGTCGACCACCTCCTCCAACTCAACCTCCTGTGTCAGTCCCTGAAAAACCACCAAGTCCAAAGAAACGACCTGACCCATCAACAGCAATACGAGATATGCAACCACCTGCTATACTTTCTCCGTTTTCATCGCCACCAGCAAAAGAACAGAAACCAAGACAACGGATTCAATCCAATTCTGAACCAGAATTAGTTCCAGTTGTTAAAAAAATAGATGAGACGCCGGGATATGAGAATGTTATAAGAGATTCTCAACGAGGAAATGCTATAAAAGCTAGACTTCCCGAAGTTAAACACGAACGGCCTATTAAACAAGAACCAATACCTTCCCGGTCACTTAATGGCATCGAAACAGATCCTACATTAGTCTCAAATCTTCTTAAAGAAAGTTTAGCTAAACCTGCTCCCATAACTGTTGCGACAGAAAAGAAATCTCCATTAGAAATAAAGAAGGAGCCTGTAACTGAACCACAACCTCCCCCTCCTGCACCTGTTCAACCTGAACCACCTCCCCAAATTCAAGAAGAACCACCCGAACACCAAAAACACAAGAAAGAAAAGAAAAAGAAAGACAAACACAAACACAAAGACCGTGACAAGACAAAAGAAGAACGTAAGAAACACAAAAAAGATAAAGATAGAGATAAGAAGAAAGAAAGTCCAGTTCAACCTAATGAAACGGATGGAACATTGAGAATAACGATACCTAGGGATAAATTTTCGACAAGTCCAGGTCTCAAAATAAAGATACCCAAGGAAAGATTAGCTGCACCGCCGCCGCCGCCTCAGTCCTCCAGTCTCAAGATCAAGATATCGAAAGAAGTTCTAGAGACTTCTAGAAAACGCAGCGGAGTTCCTGACCAAGGACCTCCACAGAAGATGGCACGCCCTGAACCCAAGGTAGGTTGGAATATGAATGTACCTCCTCCTAATATGAATATGAACAATCCTTTGCCGTACTATATGGTGCAACCGCCACCTCCGTTGTATTATGGGATGGGAATGGACGGGTATTTTTATGGGGCTATGTATCCACCTCCGATGCCCGCGCAGCCTCCTCTGCCTGCCATGCCGCCGCCGGAAGTACCCCCACCACCGCCTGAGTGAATTAGACTTCGTGTGAAATAGCTTTAAGTTACTGTTACGTGTGTATATGATGCCTTGCCTGAGCTTCTCGTGAACAACTACAACGTCGTTGATGTCTTTCAAGTGTCGTATTTTACGACAGGACGTCGTAAATTTTTATGTTGTTTCCCGTTCGTCCGATCCGTGATCGGGATATATTGAATTTAGCTTTATAAATCTATGTTAATATTAATATGTCATAATTACTCATAATTGTTTTTTGAGTACTTTCGGTCGTATTATCGACCGGATTAACGGTAAACACCTTCTAATCATAACGACGACGTACGTCGTGTCGCGATAGTGCGCTCTGACCTTTACATAAACAATTCGTGTGATATACCCGTAGTAATTGTAAATCTGACAAGTTATATCAGGACTGTCACCAATAGTTAATTCCTTTTTGTTTGTTCACGAACGTTGGTACAAGAGTCATTATTAGAGCGAGGTCAGAGTCCTACAATAATTTGTCAGAATTATTTTAACCGATTGATCAAACAGATTGATTCGCGTCTGTTATTCGTAAGCAAAAGTATAAACGTGGCAAATTTGACAATTAGCAATGGCAGTCAATTAAAATTACCTACATCATTCACACTTCACTGATATTCCAAACGTAATGGCAAACACAGACATTGACGTCACTTCTAAAGGTCAACCGTCAGTTACGGAACGGTCGTTCTGTGTTTGTTGACCGCTGATAAGTGCTCCCTTAAATCCTAAACATTTCAAAACACACAGTATTTAAATACTTTTCTATTTTTGTAAATAAGTGAATTATACTTAAAATCTATTTTTCCGGATTTAAATCCGGAAAAATAGTTTCATTTCCTATGTGTAACAATCGCGAAAACCTAAGAACTCGATATATACTTAAAATCGTCAATTAATTCAATTGCCTATGACATCATTTCCCTATAAAAAAATTTTTACTAGTAATTAACGTGACATCACTTTTACATGATATTTTATTCAATAAAAATATTGCAATCGACACCGGTTTGGTTCATAACGCCTAATTCTCGTAATGCCTTGTCCTTTAATGCCTAATCGTTTATCGTCCAATTCTCTGATCTAATCACAGCAAGTCCCTATTCAGTATTGGACCAGTCCTGTGCACTGGACCAGTGCACAGGGTCAAGAGCACGTCGAGAGATAAGAACGGTCCAAAGTACAAAGTGTCAAGTTTGACGTGCTCTTGACGGTACAAAGATACTAACGTCAAGGACGTCAATGTCACTGCCCAAAGGTGCCCTTAGATTTGTTTATTTTGTGACGATCGACACGTGCGATCTGTAGTCTGACTTTTTTGAAGACGGAGTAAAATGACATTTGTAAGGTTGCCAGTTTTCATTAAATTGTTATGTAGTTGTTGTCGATAATTTAATCGATCGATTGTGAAAGAAGATAAACTTTTGCCAAAAATGTCTGAATTGTGAATGTTACGGCGTTCTTTTGACAGTTGGTCTACTAATATCGAGATCAATTATTCAAATACATTTTAACAAGAATAACTGGGTTCGAGTCTATATTGAATTAAAATGAAAAACTTTAAAATAAGTCTCCTCTTTGTATTTTTCATAGTTCAAAATGCAGTGTATATATGTATACAACTCAAATTAATTTGTGCTCAGTAACTAATAATGACGAATGATGATTCAATTGAAACAAAGTCCGGCTATTTATTCCATAAGCGTGACCAATTTTCAGCGATAGTCGATAGAATATTTATCGACTGCAATCACTAGCTGCTCGCAAGCGGGCAACACTTGCGAATTGAACTGTCATTTTACTACGTCTTCAAAAAAGACAAGACTATACAAAAAATATTATATCGATAGGCAGCTTCTGACACATTTACTCTATTTCAAAAATAAGATATCGATCGTCCGTCTGTTGTTACAAAGGATCCCTTCAATTTTAGGCCCAATTGTGTACCGAGGTACAACTTATGTCAAACAAATTCTAAAATTATATAGGAAAAATAATAATAAATTAAATTATATCTATTAACTGAAATCTTTTTATTTTAATGAAATTGCTGAAAAATGTAATTCAACAATTATATGAATAAATATTACTGCGTTCGACGAAACGTACGTTGTCGTGATTTGACAGCTTTATTTCTTTGCGAGCTAGTCCGTGATGAATATATCAAAAACACAAATAGTTAATTAGAGAAGCTAATCAACACAAACAAAAAACGTCTAAGGCTCAACTCACACTGGCGCAGAGTCGAAGCGTCGCGACGCGTTATGTTTTTCGCCTATAGCATATTCATCTCTATTTTCCCACATTAAGATACAAACTTGTGTTTTGCAAATATGGAATCGCGTCGACGCTAGGTAGCATTCGAGCCGCTTCGCGCGTCGCCAGGCGGTGTAATTGAAAAACAGGACGCGACGCTTCGACTCTGCGCTAGTGTGATTTGTTTCTATGGCGTTGATGTGTCGACACCGTGTCATTAAGTAATATTTAAATAGTTTAACAGCTTGGGACATAGTCTTTTAGTCAACCTTATTATATATTGCATTAATAATGGACTCGTTATTAATAAATCGACACATCCGTAGAACAAAGGTCTATGTGCAAGGCTATATTATTCTCAGGACATAGTACATTTCGTTCGTTCTTCTTCGCTGTGAATGTCAGATTGACTATTGTTCAATTTTATAATTTCCGAAACGAAACAAGATATATAAATTCTCAAAACACCTTTACGTAGTCCTTAAGTTTGAATAATGAAATTATTCTGTAACGTACTTATTCTCTTTTCGCTATATAATCACATCGGACTCTGTTCTTCGGATGAGTCGAAATTACGAAAGAAGTAGTGGATTAGACGTATTTTTTAAATAATCCCGATAGCTGGTAACGTACCATTTGAAGCATAGACATTGCAATGTATAATTATTGTGTTGGCAGTCATTAATATGTTCCAACGACAATTTAAATTTATACAAGTGATTAATAAATCCAATTTTTTTTAATTCTCCGTATTTTTTTTATTAAAAAATATGTGATAGAACTTGACGTACATCTTTGGGCCCAAGTTGTATGGAAGAAAAATGGATCCTTTACTCGTATTGCTTGATCAAACGTGTAGATTGTCGAAAAACCGCGCATATCTGTATGCACTTAATAATATTTGCTATATATGTCAAATTGTTTTTTTATGTATTCGTCAAGAGTCTATTATTGTTGATTTAATAGTAATAACAAATTGCATTCTCTTACCATCACACTTCATAGTCTGATATTGGTGTCGATTCGGGTTAATACAAAATAAACTTACATTTAAAGTTAGTAAGTCTGTCTTTCGTTAGCAGTAAAGAAACGATATAACATCTACTTTAGCATGAACAAAAGTTATTTGCATATTGAAAATGAAACTATTTTTTCGGACAAACCAACGTTTTGGGCCATTTAGGCTGTCCACATAAAGTCGCGGAATTAAAAAATATATATATTATAACCCACATACTCTCCAATTCTTGTAACTCTACCGATTGTATATCTAATGGAGCAATAAAAATTTTTGTGCGAATTTAGGAACTTGACGACCTCGGTGGCCCAACGGTTTTCATCATGGGCGTCGGATGTGGAGGTCTTTTCGGAGGGATTAAGTTTACTAAATTGATTTTGATCTGGGTGTTCTGGGTCGTGGCCCAGAGTGAACTGCGTTACTCTAGTACCCATAGTACAGGGAATCCCTTAACTTGAGACTAGTAGTTGGTGTGGGTGCTATTACATTATTATTATTATTAACTGACAGCGAAAGAGACAGATGTTACTGATCTCCGTTTAGTTTTTCCCGAATCCACGCCACTTAAATATTTAGGAATAATATATATAAAATGTATCACGAGTGAAATTTTAGTTATGTGTGACATAATACTTTTTATAATGTTTAAAAAATTAAAAAAAAAAATGTATTTATGTTATTTACTTTTCTGCAAAAAATTTCACCTCGTTTATCAAATGAGTCGCGTGTGAGTTTCAATAGTCCGAAAAAAAAGATAAAAATATTATTGTTTCATTGAAAAAAAAATTTGACGTCAATATGATCTCAATGCCTTATGTTGTGTATGTTAGTAATAATATCTCTTGTATTTTTAAAATTATGACGTAATTTTTTATGATAATAGACGGGTATATTGGACACTAAATTGTAGGCGTGCAAAAGAGGCAAAAAAACAATATTATTTTTGTCTTTTTTATTTTGATATGGGGTGTCTGAAAAAGTCTACTTAATTACATTTTAGTGCATTTCTAGACTTAACTTTTGTGTGTAAGCTTACATTTCTTTTGTTCTAGGCTTTTTAAAACATCCTGTATGGACTTTTTTGGATATAGATTACATCACTTAAATTTAAGGACAAGTCTCAAGTACAGGGCCAGAAAACTTATTTAGAATATATGTTTTACACATTTATATCTCATATGTACACTAGTTATTATCTATAAGAATTCACAAACACCTTGTCTATTTTAAATCAGAGGCCTAGCCTCGCAACCGGAAACCAAAAACGGAAATGTTTAGGACAAGTGAGCTTAGATTTAGGGGCACCGCGCAGCTAAGATGTGTACAGCACAGCATTTGTATCGTACAATTGTAACAATGAAAGAAGGAAAGAAAAATTGTTTTTTTAACTTTGGTTTACAGATGCCAAAAAGATAACAAAAATCGAATAAACTTAAAATAAACCGCAAAAATCAATTACATATAAATTACTTCAATACTCATCTTTTCGTAACGAAAAGTTTTCCAAACTCGTTTAAGTGAAACCGGATAAATGATAAAGTAAAAAAATGCACAATGCACACATTTGCTATGTATTGCGCATTTGTCGTGTACCTATGTCTAAACATAAACTAAACTAAGTGAACACTGCACAACATGTTTCTTGCGCTACATAAATGATTCCTTTATTGCTGCGTTGTAAGATCATAAAATAATCTTACACTACTACAACTTTTGTACGATGCAACATAAAATTTCATTGACACGATGTAGTAGATTAACTATTATACTGCTACATCATGTTCACATCCACGTGGCATTATATTGCGTTAAACTAATGTAGTAGCTTGGTGGGGACCTTTACATGACATCCCGTATCGTAACAGTGTATGAATCTTTTATATGACGCGTGCAATATAATATGGACTTGTGTTTATACACAAGTACGCGATAAATGCGCAATACATTGTGTAAAACAACAGATTTACTTCTTTGTACACATGTACGATGCGCAACATTTGCCACTTTGATATGCGGTGCACGTTAATTTATACATTTAAAATTGTTTAATGTCTACAAAAAATAATAATCATATATATTTTGTGTGCTTTATAAGCTATTTATGCTATATGTATACATGTAGCTTGAAGTTTACTTCTACTCGTAATTACAAGTGTTTATAACATGATACAGTAAAACTTGAGAGTCTTTAGTGAAGGGCCAGTTCGTGACACTTTGTGTCAAATAACTTAAATGGTTCATGTCAATTAATATTGTGTCAAAAATATCGATTTTTTTTTAAAGTTTACACTCCTGATTTGTCGTTCAATCGAAACCAACTTACAAAAACTGGTAAAGACCACAGCTAGTTGACTCTAAAGTTTTACTTTTTCCAATTTATAATAATAAATATA